AAAAATTTCAAACGAACTTGAACAAGCAGTTAAAAGCGTGAGAGCTTGAAATTTCGTTGTTCGTAGATGTTCCGTGAAACGTCAGTTTTATTATTGATATGGATGTAAGCTTTAATCATACGGCATTTTCACTGGTTTTTGTGTGATTTTTGTTCGTGTATATTTTGCAAATATACTGTAATAAATTATTCAATTAATTTCACTCAGTTTTTGTATTTAATATTTAATTTTGAGTCGTTTCCTTTCCTCAGCATTCATATTCGGAGCAAGCTGAACATTCCAGGTTTGAGATAACTATACTCAATTTTCATACTCTCACTCAACATATATGTTGAATCTATGTATGATAACAAGTTTAATATTTACTTGTAAAGACTGCAATTTCTTCTTTACTGCAGCTTCTGACATCCCAAACGTTTGCCTACACTTTCCCAAGCATCGTTTTTTTTCTAATAATTTTATAAAAAGGGTCTTTAGTCTCCCATATTATAGGAAACTTTTCTATTTCATTATGAATGATAAAATTACGTCATTTGACCATTCCATAATTTATTCAAAATTTTCAAACTGTACACAATAATTAAAAGTAAATATATTAAAATTTTCAAACTGTACACAATAATAAAAGTAAATATTATTAAATTATTAACATTATTATTAAATTATTAAAAAATTATTATTAAATTATTAAAATTATTAAAACAAAAATGTTCGTTTGCGTTCGTTTGAGACGTCCACACTGCACATACGAGTTCAAACATGAACAAACAATTCCCTTTGATGTACCGACAAGTTGCGGAACATTGCTCGCCATGTTTGTTTATGTTCGTTCGTGATCGTCGTGGCGTCCACACTATGCTGTTGCCGTTCGTTCTGGTACGTTCTTTTATGTTCGTTCGTGTTTGTTCGTTAGGTGTGGACGCACCTTTAGTGTTTTCTCGAATAATATATGAATAACGTCGAACTGTCTAATTTCAAATAGGTAAACAATTTTGAATAATATATATGAACTTTAAAAATTAAAAACCTTCAAAACGGCTGTGATGATAACGGAAAATTCATAATTAACAATAGAATGAAATTAATTGAAAACAAGTAATTTTATTTAGTTTTCAAAAAGTAGGGTTATATAAAATAAATGTAGAAAAATACTTACATCATACATACAATTTATAATGAATGATATTACTCGAAACATTCATCAATTTAAAAAAAAATGGCTACTTATATTAATTATTTATTTGATTAAAAATTTCAGTCTTTTTCCAAAACATTATCATTATGTCTAATGGAGAAACGGAATGTGCATTAAGAGCTTGTCGCTTACTACAATCAAATAGTGCAGATTCTGCTGAATTAATCAGATTATACCTAGATGAAGCTATAAAACAAAAGTATGGTTCTCACAAAACCCTTACTAATGCCTTAAAGAAAGAAGTGGGTACATCAGTAACAATTTATATCTGAAATAAACATACAATGATTTTTTACTATTTTAACTTAAAGATTTTAGATGAAGAGCAAAAAGTTTGTGGCTTAATTACGGCCTGTGATACAGATATAATAACATCACATGATGATTCAATGGTCGAGGGACTTAAAAATTTGCTGCAGGATGATCTCACTTGTATAATCTGCAGGTATTTCATATGAAAATTGTCATTTTAAGGAAGGTTTTTTATGTTGCAAGATATTTGAAACAATAAATTTTTAACTTGATATTTTGAAGGGTGATTATGTACATTTTTAATGCTTATGTACACATCAGTATATACCTTATGTATAAAATGTATTTTATTATAAATATGCTTGTATTTATTTTATATATTTATTGGTTAACTTTTTCAGTAATAGTATGTAATAAATAAATGATTTCAGATATTTATCAATGCTCGTCCACATTTTATTTTTGCTTTCAACATTATTCAGTTTTGAGATATTTGTTACTCAATCTTGTTTTTTTAATTTGTTGTACTTTTTTCAAAGAGACTTAGCTTTTGTTTTGCCTTTATAATATTTTTATTACATTTTAATCACATATATGATTTTAGGGGGATGGATGTAACTGCAGGCAATAGACTTGTGGAGTGTTCAGAATGTCATTCACTTTATCATCAAGAATGTCACAGACCGCACATTCCCGAAAATGATGTAAATGATCCTGATATTTGTTGGAGTTGTTCAGAGTGCAAAGTAATTCATTGATTTCAAATGATACTTTACTTTTTTTAAACAAATTATTTAATTTCTATTTTTATTTTAAGATTGAAACTTCTACTTCTGTACAAAAATCCTATAAAGACAGATCTAAGGAATCATCAAAATCACCTGCTTCCAGTTCAGGATATACCAAATTATACAGTGGAAGCAGTTCTAAATCAAAAAGTGAATCTTCCACTAAATCTTCTAGTAGTAGCCCTACAGTATCTTCTTCAAAAATAACACCACATATAAAAATCCTAACGCCTGATAAACATGCTCAAAATCTTAAAAGAAAGGCATCAAAACAAGGTGAATCAAAAAAAAAACATTAAATATCATTAATGTTAATTATATATCATTAAAATAAATCATGTCATACGTAATTAATGATTTGTACAAGCAAACAGTTTTATTGATTTTGAAGATTTTTCTTCTATTTGTAAAGTATAAAGAGTAAATTCAATATTTTATTTAAAAATAACTTAAACAGCTTTAAGGCACCCAACTCATTTTCTATAAATGATAACAACTCTCTTTTGAGATGTTGAGAACTAGCCTTTTGTGAAAAAAAAACAGCTTTTTTCCAAAAAGATTTTACTGGTGCTTGTTGCATAGCTGTTAGCTGACTGTATGAACATTGTTATAATTAAAACAAGGTATTGGTAATAAAATAGAGTTGTTTATATGATTTTGGCACTTTTTAGTCCACATTAGTATTTTTTAATTATTAAATATAAACAACGATATAAATTAGAAAAATTAATATTATTTATTAGTTATTACATATAGGCATTATTATTCCATATTTCCAACCATCATTATAATCTATGATTCCTTATTTTTCATTTAATCCTTATTCATTTTTTCTCTTGTTACTATGGCTGCTACTTTTTGACTTATTCGCTTACAGCCAGTTTTTGAGAAGATAGGTTTATCATCTGGCCCATATGTTACAAAACTCAATACCTCCCTAAATTATTAATAGTTTTATATAACATTTCTTTCCAACATGAAATACTGTGAAATTATTTCAAAAACTCACTCAATATATTCTTCCTGAGGAGAAATGATTCCCAGATTCAAAAACTCATCCTTGATGCACATTTCCACATGCCTTCTTTCCAGGGGGAAAAAAGGTATGTAATGATCTATGAGTCCACTTTTAATATTTGAAGAATATTTAAAACCCCCTGAAATTGTAATTAGAATTTAAATTATGTTCTTAGTACTTTTATTATATATTACAATGCATATAATCAAAAACAAATATAATATTAACAAACAATAAAATCATATTTCAATTCTACAAAATTGCGCATTTGCAAGGTTTGGGTAATATAATAGCTTAATTTTATAAAGTTGTGTGAATTTATTGAATGCCTTCATTCAAATACCCATCAAATATCTATAGTCATTTTATTAAGGCAACACAATGATGTGATCCACTAATTTAACAATTTCAATAATTTATATTAAATTGAGCTCACTGAAGGTAGACCCATTACCACTTAACGTTAGAAGGATGGCCAGTAAAACTATGGAAATCCATATTTTAAAAACACCAATATTTTTGTCCTTAAGTGTCGTATCCATAAAGGAATCATCATTCAGAGTAGTAAAATATACACAAATAGCTTTCATTTATAATCCTCAAAATATAATTTTATGCCCATTTCTCTGCGAACTCAACATCTAATGAATGCGCATTATAAACGAACAAATGTATTTTTAAAAATTTAAAACTTTTGTTTAGAAAAAATATCAATAATAAAATGTTTCAGATTCTAAAAATTTTTAAATATTGTCAATATTTTGATAGATTCGAAAATTGTTCAATTTTATTATATTTTTAAAAACCATGAACATTAATTAGTTAAAATAAAGATCTTCACAAACATTAGTTTATTTATAGACTCATGAACGCACATACACACATGAATTCAAAAAAGCAAATTGAAAACTAAAACTTTGAGTAAATCCTTGCTAAAAATATTAAGTATCCTAATATTTTTTAGTCTAGGTTTTTGTACTCCGTCTTGAAGTTTGCTCTTGAAATATATTTATTTATTATCACTATAAATAATATAGAAACATTATCGCCACAAAAAATGTAATTTCTTGAAATTTCTGAGCAATCAAAATTTTCAAATTTAAATAAAAAGACTATCTAGTTGAAACTGGCATTTTGCCTTAAGACAACTTCCCGAAATTCGTAATAATTCATTTAATCAGCCGAAATTGAGATTTAGGTACTTACAATAAAATTTTCAACTGTTTATTTCGAAAATAAAGTTTTCGCTTTCACTTAAATCTAAATATTGCGATTTCCGATTGATATTTCTCAATCACATTTAAACTATCTGTAATTATATTAATTATAGTGCGCAGACACGTGCTTGAATATTCTAAAATTGAAGCTTATTTTTCCAAATTTTAATGAATTTATATAATTCAGCCAATAAAGTTCGTGCCACGATACTAGTTCGCGGTGGACGCCTGAACTAATTAACTGATTTTAAATTTTATTTGTTCACCGCGTGCATTTATATCCAAATTAGGTGATAAGCTGTATTCAATATTAGAAATATATAATTTTTGCATACTTCAAAAAGTTTTGAGTTTTGAACTGAAAACAAAATATTGTTTCTATGAACATCCTCTGCGTTAAATTAATTATTTCCAGTTGTGCTGATTGGATCAGTATTTTTTTTTATTGTACCATATTGGAGCCAACTTTATAACAATTCAAGAAAAAATGCAATTTTCTTAACAATAAATACCCTTGAGTGCTTATAAAGGTTAAAAAAAAAACATTTTTTTTTTTACTCTGCTACGTGTTTTTTTCTTTTTTTCTCTGCTATGTTTTTTTTCAATCGATTGAATTTGGGGAAAGGTTGAAAAATCTTTGTAAATATTTAAGGGTTGTTATTGCTAAGAAATTTGCAAAAAGATTGTTTTTAAATTATTATAAAAAGGACTTCAATATAAGTATAATAATAAAAAAAGAATTCTGATGCGATCGGCACAACTGGAGATAATGAATTTAACGCAGAGGTTGTTCGCAAATTGAGCAAACCAGCTATTTCAATCATAAAATTTCGTTTTTTTTTATCATAATCCTAAAATACGTTTCAAATAATTGTACGTATATCTTTAAAATCATACAATTCGAAAATGTTATATTTTAATTTCAAAATTAATACATGGAACTCTTTTTACTTCAAGATACTATTTATTAACTTCCCGAAGGAGAAGTTTATGTTTTCATAAAAAAAATCCGATTCGCTAATTTGATTTTTTGCCGTAAGTCGACGTTTTCTCGAAAACGGCTGGGCCGATTTCAAAAATTTAAAAGCCATTAGATGTATCTCGACGAGGACTATCGTTTTTCAGTTTTGTGGTACGATCGGCCAAGACGTTTCTTTATAAATAGCAGAAAAGTGAAAATTTTTTCGTCCACGTTTTAGCCCGCTATTCTGAACCGATTATGAAAATTCAAAAACCGTTCGAAAGATATTGATTGGGAATCGTGCTGATTAGTTTTTGGTAAAGATCGGCCGGGCCATTTTCTTGTAATAAAGTGTTAAAAAAATTTTTTGACGGTAGATACTATAGTCTTCTAGATCATACTAAAAACTTTGAAAATCCGTCAAAGTTTGCAAAAATTGGTATCGTTTTTTTGGCATTTGTCAAAATTAGACCTTTCATCGACGTTTTCTCAACAACGCCCGAACTGATTACAGAAATTTAAAAGCTATTGATGTATTTCGATGAGGACTTTCGTTTGTCAGCTTTGTGCGATGATCTGCAAAGCCGTTTCTTTGTAATTTGAAAAACAGTGTTTTTCAAATTACAAAGAAACTTTCGTCCACATTTAAGCTCATCCTACCGAACCGATTTTAAAAAATCAAAAACTGTTCGAAAGATATTGGTTGGGAATGGTACTGATTAGTTTTAAGTGAAAATCTACCGAGTCGTTTTTTTGTATTAACTGTTGAAAAAAAAATTTAAGCCGATTTTTATAGATTTTTTTTTAGCGATATATATCATGGTCTTATAGAACTTATTGTAATATTACGGTCTTACGACAAGTAGTTTAATTTTAAAAATGCATCAAAGTTTAGACCATTTACTTGGTATAACAATATAGTACTTGGTCTTAATAAACATACTAAACCATTAAAATCCTACGGAAACTGGTTCAAATATAATAATTGCTGGTTATTGAAAAGTTGCTTGTTAAAAATACTCTGAGTTAACGTGTTCATTCATTACACAATTATGTGTAATAAATCCACTCATAAATTAATTTATTTTTTATTAATTAAGTCGATTATTTACACATATCGGGAAGTTCATGTAACCAAATACATAAACTAAATTAACCAATACCAACTAGTTTTTATCAAGGGTTGTCCGTCCCCATCCTTTTATTTTGGAATCAATTTTTCTTAAAATTTTTAATCAATGTTCACAATATTATATTAAAAAATGCACACAACTCTAAATTTTCACCCTCCTTCCACAGATCTCTAATTCATAATAGCCATTTTAGTAATCGAATAATTAATCTGAATTTTAAATGACATTTTTCTGACTTAGTGCAATAATTTTACTTTAAAAAAAAACAATGAATGCAATGCATGCGAAAAATGCAGTCACATCATCAAGGGGACGCTATCACACATAGTTTTTTATATAATTTCTAAGACAAACTGTAAAAAGAGTTTAAAAAAAAAGGAAATGAGCATATAAATATCATTCTGCCTTAATATTTTAAAAATATCAATTTCATTGAGTATTTATATTGAGAGGCCTGGTGTATCAAGTGAAGTAAAATATGTTGTACATATTTCATAAAACTTATTGGCAAAAGCCGGTTGATTCATCATATCATTTTTTTTTTTTTTTTTTTGATTTTTGCTGTTAATCATGTGATATATGTTCTTGTTGAGATTTTCTATCGATTCATATACAAGCATCTAAGAAGACATTGATAAAATTTTTTGATCTTCATCACATAATTTGTATCAGTATAATATATTAAAATCAAACAAAGAAGATATACAGGAAGAAAACATTAATGCAATTTGAATAATACGGACACTCACAATTAAATGGAAACAAATTAATTGCAGGTAGTAAAATGTTCACCAGGCCAGCTCTATTTAATAATCCAAATAAACTAATAAGGTATTCACCTTCTTCTTCAAAAGCGCCTTTAATAACAAGTGGCTCAAAATGAGAAAGCTTTGTTTTCTCTCTTTCCAAACCGTCGTTCCATAACTTAATCAAATGGAATGTTATTTCTTTAGTTCCTTTGTTAGATAAGAAAATAAAAATAGATTTCCTAAAATATAATTAAATTTAGAATGTTAATATAGTGAAATTATTATCAACTTACCGGAAATCCAATCCATCAATATGAGCATTGTAATCTAAAAATGGTTTCAAGGCATCAAGAACTCCAACAGGCATTTTGTCAACTTCATCAAAAATAAATAAAGATTTATCACATGCTTTCACAGCTGATTTAATATCAGATACTAATTTTTCCTATAAAACATATCAATAATAATCACATAATTATATTGTATAGATCATTTAATATTTTCATACCTTATATTCGTCAACTTTACTTTGCAGAGGAAAATGTAATCCGCCATTGTAACTATGCACAAATTTGCTCTTTTCTCCATATCTGTACAAACTATTAGCTATAAATTGAGATACATAATTTTTACCACTTCCAGGAGTGCCATGAAAGCTTAATGTCAGTGGTTTCTTTGGAGATGATGATGATATATGGCCTTGTATGGCAGGTACAACAGTATCGAGAACAAGATGCTGCCCATAAACGTGATGTGTTAGAGAAGTATAAAGTTCTAAAAAAATTATTTCAATAAATCTGGTGAATCAGATAATACAAAAAATGCTGTTAAATATACTTTTAATATCATAGGGAATAGAATAACTGTTACAGCATTCTGCATATTTACAGTATGTATTATCTTTTAACATATCAAAAGAGTTATAGAATATCGCACTTCCAGCCATAGCAGCTATTCCTCCAAAAATAGTCCCTGTTATTGGTTCTATGCATTCTATATTTAATAATAACAATAGTAATAAATACAAAACAATAAGTTTTTTATGAAGCATTTCAATTTATCTTTTAAAATAAATAACTCAATTTCTACAAGCCATAAAAATATTTAATTTTGCGCAGCGGCACATGATTTATAATTTTTGTAATACATAAGATGAGAGGAAGTCAAAATATACACATTGTATTTTGTGGCATTAACCTAAAAATAAGCAAGTACTTTTTGACATTGACATTTCCTTGACATTTTCCCTACGCCCATTTGACATACCCATAGGTGGTAAAAGAGATTTAAGAATATAGATATGAACATAACCTTAGTCAATGTGTACTAGATTATTTACTAGACTTTTTCATTCAGAGAGCTAGAAAATGAGTGATGTTTTACGCATATCGCTTGACAACTATGGGCTGAAAATTAAATGCGTTTTGCCCTTCTACCATAGACCTTATACAATTGAAATTGTATAAGGTCTATGCCTTCTACCCATAGATAAAAGAAGAGTGTTGGTGTATTTATGTGTAATAAATATGTGAATAAAAATAATATTGTTTTTTTGTATTATAATGTATTTTTAAGATTTAATTATAAATCATGTAAGATATTAGTTATTAATTTTATTGTTGTTATTTGCGTAGATAAATGAACCAAAATAAACATTAGTCCTTATCATAGATAAGTAAACATGGTCCTTATGTAAACTCTGTTATGTTGTCAGCAGTTTACTTTGAAACCTTATGTTTATTTATCTATGTTGAAACCCTTCTTTTGTATGTTACGAACTTCAAATTAAAACAACATGCTTTTTTGATTATTTCACTTATGTCATTTAATTGTCTCTATTTTGTAATGTTATTGCTATGTTTTTGATATTTATGATAATAATCAAGTTTTCATAAGAATTCCAATTCATTACAATAATGCAAATAAATGTTCAAATTTTAACATAGTTTGATTTTCTTCTTTAGCCATTTTTGCAACCGATAATCTGCTTGTAAATGATGATGAACTGCAATGCTTTAAATAACACCGAAGAAGATATAGTTATTTTAAAAGCTAAACAGTTTTTAGAGACTGATTCATGTAGGGCAAAGGCTCTTATTATAACTGCACAAACTTTATTTCCAAATCATTTTGGAGTGCAGGTATACCTGTATTCGATGCTTAAGTGAGATTAATCCTTGTTTTTTTTTATTTAATTTTATGTCTTTTCAGTATGAAGCATACAAAAATTGAAAAATTGGATCGCGATGTGGAGAAATCAGCGAAGTATTTTAATTTTATGTATGTTCATGTAGTTATATAAATTTTTTTCAGTCTAATTTGAATTAGGTACAGGTAACCCCCGCATAACACGGTACTTCTATAACATGGATCTGTTCTAACACGGTTTAAGAATTGAGACGATCCCCCTCATAACACGGTACTTTCGGGTTTGCATAACACGGTTTAAGAATTGAGGAAAGTTTTAATAAAATAAGAAATATTGTAAAAGCTATGAAAAGCAAACTTTATCTAATATAAAATTAGTAAAATCGCTCAATAAATGTGATCAAACTAGTGCAAAAAATAACTAATTTGATATATATTATTAGAGCGCGTACGTTCTATCGAAAAAAAAAATTCTAGGATTATCCAAACAACATATTAAATAATTCTTAAGCAATTTTTCAAATAAAATAAAGTAAAGTAATAAGGATTACTTTACATGTGTTAAATATATAAATATGTAAAAAGCAAGTAATCCCAAATATAATTTTTTTTTTTCAAAAAATGATGCATGGATCTGAGAGTAGTATAGAAAACTGCTCAGGGGATGAGGATATCTTGCAAAAAAAAGGATCATGTTGGATAGCACTTACTTGTTAATTATGACGAAAAAATTATATAAATCAAGTAATGTATATTACTTCTTAAAAAATGATTAAATGTAACAGTATTTATTATAAAATTGTGATATGTAGCATGTGTTTTTGAATTCTTGGAACGTAACCACTCTTTTTGTACTAGTACTTTGTCCCTTATAACATTTCTGGAACATAACAACCGTGTTATATGGGGGTTACCTGTACTTAAGTTTATGCTATGCAGATTTTAAAATATTTGGATCAAATATGAATGATTGTTTGAATTAAATGTGTAGAATGATTGTTACTAGAAATCTTAAATTCATTGTCTTACTTTTATTATATTTTCACAAAATTGTTCTGTTTGTCAAATTAGCATATGTATCATTACTCATATGTTGCAAACAGGGAATGCTATCCATCAATTTTCAAATATTTATCTCGATTAGCAGTCTCAAGTGTTATCATCAGAAAAAGTATAATCATCACTGGTTTATATCTAAACTAATGACCAAATGCTCAAAAAATGTTACTGATTATTTTTTTTGCTTTTTAGTACATAATTTTAAATTTGTGTGTTAAAAGGAAATATTAAGTGTTAAAGAAATATTTAAAAAATTATTTCATTTATGCTTGCGCATTAAAATTAATATATATTATTTTTTTATCCATGGATATTTGTGCATCACTAAACACAGTATTGTCAATTACATATATTAATAGTTTTACTGATTTATTGCAAGTTTTTTAATTAATATTTCTAATCTTTTATACTTTTAGAATAAGTAATTTCAAGCAACCACCTCCAGAATTATGGGATGAAGTTTCTGCAATAGCATCAGCTTTACGATGTCCGAAGGAAGATTTAACAGCAGAACAAGAGTTTTTATCAGACATGTTTCAGAATTTAAATGAAGAGGTAATTTTTATATTTTATCCAACAGTTGTTAAATGTTATTTATTGCTTGTGACTTATTAATTGAAATTACAAATGATAAGAAAAGTAAGACAATTTGAGTACATCTAAATTGTCTTACTTTTCTATATAACATGTCTGAACGACTGCTAGGATTATTGTTATTTGCTATCGATTTATGTTATAGTTATAGTGTCATTCTCAGTATTGTATTCAAGTAATCAAAAATAATACATAAATGTAAGAGAATATCTAATACACAGGTCCAACATAAACTGCTCATGCTAACAGCAGATCATAGCGAGGATACATTGGAACATTGCAGATTATTACTTCTTCTTGTTCATAAATTTCCTAAAACCATTAGTACATATGGGGTGAGTAGTTCAATTAAATGAAATATTATGCAAGGACGAATTATCTTTTTATTCAACAATCAAAATTTAAAAATTGATATAATTATATCAATTAATATAAATTAATTTATATTATTCTTTATTACTTAGCTTATTTATTATTTATTATTTGATGACTAATAACGGCGTTCCCTAAAATAATAAAATCTTTAATGATTTTATAATGGCATAACCGTTGGCTTGAATTTTTATTTATTTCATTTATTATCATCAGCCTAGCCTTGTTGAAACTTTACTTTCCGCTGAATGCTATGGTTCTGGAACAACCTCTTGGGTAGAACTGCTCATGGATGAAGTAATGCCTTTAATAACTCCAATGCAGACAACACCTTCAATATTTCCAGTAAATATGCTCCATAGATTATTCCTAAAAAGCATAGATTTTTACATGAATAAATTGTATAACACTGAGGTAAGATATAAACATCGTATAATCATTTGCATATCAATTATTATTTTGGGTTTGCATTTTAATAGAAACAAAGCACACAATTCTCTTGGAGCATATGGAATAAAACATTTAGTATTCTTGAGTTTGTTGGAAAACAGTTGGGTTGGGAAAACCACCTGGTTTGTTTCGATAACTCATGGAACAAGGAAAATTATTATTCCAAACTATTGCAAAGATTAACACCAAAAAAACAACCAATGAATGGCGATGATAAAAAATTATTGTTTTGTGGTACAATACTCTTTCTAAAATGTCTTCATGAGTATACAAATGATTTAATATGCTGTGTAAAGGGGAATTATGTCAAAACAACACTTATTGAACTTCATAAAGGTAAATTTATTATTACTAAGTGCCCAATATTAGATACTTGTATTTAAAATGACTACCAATCTAACTGTTAAAAAGTGAAAAATTCTGAATCTATCTTTAAATAATTCAAAGACGGTTTGAAAGATATTTTTTCTTGTTATGCTGGTGATAATAGTACGAGTAAACAATACTTATTTTACGCCCGCGGGTGGGCTCGAACCACCAATCTTTTGGTTTAAATATTAATAATCTAAAAATATCAGAACTGCAATATTGTAGTTGGTTTTGGAATGCCGATAACATAATATATGATGTTTAGAAAGATTTATTATTTTGGAATCCTGCAGATTAGTTTTGGACAAAAATCGGTCGAGACGTTTCTTTTTAAACAACTTTTGAAAATCTTTTTGATGAAACTTTTTATGTTGATAGACATCATGGTCTTAAAGAACATATTAAAATATTACAGTCCTATGACAAGTCGTTTAATTTTAAATATTTATACAATTTTGAAAAAATATGATTCAAAAGTCGCTTTTGTGATGTGACAAGTCAAAATTTTAATTTCACAAATTTAATGGACATTGGATTAGGAGGAGTTAAGAAAACATTGGTCAATTCATTTTTTTAGAATCAGCAGAAAAATAAGTCTACAAAACTTCTCTAGTTGCATAAAAATATTCTACCATTAATTTAAATGATAAAATAATATCAACTATGTACATGATAATATGTATATCATGTAATCGTGCCGATGCCTAATGCTATACAAAATAATTGATTGATTCTTTTAAAAAATGTTTCGACGTTTTTCATAAAATTTATTATGTTGATAAAGTTTATGCAGTGAACAGTTATGCAGTCAACAGTTCTACAAAAATTGGTTGAATTATATAAATTCATTAAATTTCGGAATAAGGGGCTTCAATTTTAGGACATATAAGCACATGTCTGAGCGCTAATTAATGTAATTACAGATATTTTTAACTTCCCAAAGGAAAAGTTTATGTTCTCATGAAAAATCCAATTCGCTAATTTTATGTTTTCTCGACGTTTCAAGTCATTCCGAATCGAATGAGACCAAATTTGGAAAAAGTATGTGTGTGTGTCGTAAATCGACGTTTTCTCAAAAACGGC